GATCATATCTTAGGGTACAAAGCAAGCCTCAGCAAATACAAGAAAATAGAAGTAATCCATGCATTCTATTTGATCACAGTGCTTTAAAACTGGAACTCAACAACAAAAACAACAGTAAAACAATGCAAGCAGGTGGAAACTAAACAACACATTTCACAATGATCAATGGGTAATTGATGAAATAAAAGAGGAAATTAAAATGTTCCTGGAAGTTAATGAAAATGAAAACACAATCTACTGCAACCTATTGGACAAAGCAAAGGCAGTCCTGAGTGGAAAGTTTATAGCCATGAGTGCATATATTAAAAGGACAGAAAAATCTCAAATCAATGACCTAATGCTACATCTCAAACTCCCAGAAAAACAAGAACAAGCAAATCCCAAAACAAACAGAAGGAGAGAAATAATAAAAATATAGGCTGAACAATGAAATTGAAAGAATCAATGAAACAAAAACCTGGTTCTTTGAGAAAAATAAATAAGATTGACAGACCCCTGGCAAATCTGACTGAAATGAGGAGAGAAATAACCCAAATCACAAATGCAAAAGGGAAGATAACAACAAACACCAAGGAAATAATCAGAGACTATTTTTCTAACCTATATTCCAATCAATTTGAAAATCTTGAAGAAATGGATGGATTTCTAGATATTTATGACCATCCAAAATTGAACCAGGAGAACATTAATCACCTGAATAGATCTATAACACAAAAATTAAATTGATGCAGCAATAAAGAGTCTCCCAAAAAAGAAAACTCCAGGACCTGATGGATTCTCTCCTGAATTCTATCAGACATTTAAAGAAGAATTAATATCAACCCTCCTTAAACTGTTCCAAGAAATAGAAAGGGAAGGAAATCTGCCTAACTAATTTTAAGAAGCCAGTATTATACTCATTGCAAAGCCAGACAAAGACAACTCAAAAAAGAACTATAGGCCAATCACCTTATTGAACATTGATGTAGAAATACCCAATAAAATAATGGCAAACCAAATCCAACAACACATCAGAACAATCATTCACCACTACCAAGTCAGCTTCACCCAGGGATGCAGGGGTGGTTCAACATTTGTAAATCTATAAATGTAATACATCACATTAACAGAAGCAAAGAAAAAAAAACACTTGATCATTTCAATGGTCACAGAAAAAGCCTTTGGCAAGATCCAACACCTCTTCATGATAAAAGCTCTAAGTAAACTAGAAATAGAAAGAAAGTACCTGAAGATTGTAAAGGTTATATATGACAAACCTACAGCCAACATCATAATTAATGGTGAAAAACTGAAACAATTTCCCCTAAAATCAGGAATGAGGCAAGGGTGCCCACTATCTCCACTCCTATTCAACATAGTACTGGAATTCCTAGCCAGAGCATTAGGCAAGAAGAAGAAATAAAAGGAATGTAAATAGGTAAAGAAACTGTCAAAATATCCCTATTTGCCAATGACATGACCCTATACCTTAAAGACCCAATATCACTCCCCTAAAACACCTAGCCACCATAAACAGCTAAAGCAAGGTAGCAGGATACAAAATTAATTTACAGAAATCATTTGATTTTCTATACACAAACAACGAATAAACTGAGAAAGAATATATGAAAACAATTCCATTTACAATAGCCAAAAAAAAAAAATCAAATACCTAGGAGTAAATTTAACAAAGGATGTGGATGACTTCTATAAGGAGAACTACAAATCCCTGAAGAAAGAGATCAAGGAAGACTATAAAAGATGGGGAGATCTCCCATGCTCAGGGATTAGTAGAATCAACATAGTAAAAATGGCTATATTACCAAAAGCAATCTACAAGCTTTATGCAATTCCCATCAAATTCCCAGTGACTTTCATCACAGAGATTGAAAAATCTACCCTAAATTTCATTTGGAAAACAAGAGACCGTGAATAGCCAAGGCAATATTCAGCAAAAAGTGCAATGCTGGAGGTATCACAATACCAGACTTCAAACTATATTACAAAGCAATAGTAATAAAAACCGGATGGTACTGGCTCAAAATCAGACATGAAGACCAGTGGAACAGAATAGAGGACCCAGATATGAATTCATACAACTATGCTTACCTTATTTTTGGCAAAGGTGCTAAAAATATACGATGGAGAAAAGACAGCCTCTTCAAGAAATGTTGGGAAAAGTGGTTATCTATCTGCAAAAAACTGAAGTGAGATTCTTGTCTATCACCATGTTGTAGTATCAACTCAAAATGGATCAAGGACCTTAATATAAAATCCAAAACTCTGAAGTTGGTACAGGTAGGAGCAGGAAACACTCTGGAACTTAAAGGTATAGGCAAGGACTTCCTCAATAGAACCCAGCAGTTCAGCAAGTAAGAGAAAGGATGGACAAATGGGACTTCATAAAATTAAAAAGCTTCTGCACAACAAAAGAAATTATTTCTAACCTAAAGAGACCACCCACAGAGTGGGAGAAAATATTTGCCAGCTATATATCAGCAAAGGACTGATAACCAGAATATACAGGGAACTTAAAAACTAAAGTCTCCCAAAAGCAACGAACCAATATGGAAATGCACAACTGAACTATACAGAACATTCTCAAAAAAAAGAAACCCAAATGGCTCAAAAACACATGAAAAAAATGCTCACTATCTCTAGCCATAAAGGAAATGCAAATCTAAACCACACTAAGATTCCACCTCACCCCTGTTAGAATAGCCATCATCAAAAACCCCACTAACAATAGGTGTTGGCAAGGATGTGCAGAAAAAGGAACTCGTACACTGCTGATGGGAATTCAAGCTAGTGCAACCTCTCTGGAAAAAAATGTGGAGGCTTCTTAGTTCTGCCATATGATCCAGCAATCCCACTCCTGGGGATATATGCAAAGGAATGAGACACAGGTTACTCCAGAGGTACCTGCACACCCTGTTTATTGCAGGACTATTCACAATAGCCAAGTTATGGAAACAGCAAGATGCCCCACTACTGATGAATGGATAAGAAAATGTGATGTTTATACACAATGGACTTTTACTCAGCCATGAAGGATGAAATCTTATCATTCACAAGTAAATGGATAGAACTGGAGAACATCATTCTGCGTGAGGTCAGCCAGGCTTGAAGACCAAAAATTGTATGTTCTCTCTCATATTTGGACTGTAAATCTAGGACAAATACAGCAATGAGGTTGGACTTGGTCACATGATAAAGGGAGAGCACATATGGGAAGTATGGGAGAAGGTAAGAAACCGAAAACATGAAAGTATTTGATGCCTCCACTGCAGAGTAACTAATACAGAAACCTTAACACAACAGAGGTCAATATGAGAAGGGGATCAGGAACTAGAGAAAAGGTCAGTTAGAGATGAATCAACTTGGGTTGTGACACATTTGTACATGGATGCAATTCTGGACACTCTCTGTATAACTATCCTTATCTCAACTAGCAAAAACACTTTTTCTTTCTTATTATTGCTTAGGTTTTTTTTCAACAAAATTGGACATAAGGGCAGCACAGGTTTTGCCTGGAAGCGATGGGTAGTCAGGGGGAGAGGGAGAGTTCAGGGCAGCAGGGGGGAGAAATGACCCAAACAGTATATGCACATGTGAATAAATGAATAAAGAAGAATAATAAATTGTACTCTAAAGCTATTTTATGCCTAAATATAGAAATCCAAATGTTTTCTGTACCAATTTTACTTGTAGTATGATTAAAATCTTTTTAAATAAATCAGATAATGTACCTCAGGGACACATAATTTACTTAAACCAAGTTTTTTGTTTGGTACTTGTATTTGAACTCAGGGCTTCAGACTTGTTAGGCAGGTGTTCTGTCACTTGACCCACACCTACAGCTTGTTTTGTCCAGGTTAAATTTAGAGATGGGGGTATCACTTTCTTCCCAGGCCAGCCTGGACCACACTCCCTGTTTTTTAAGCTACCAGCCATCCCTGGGATGACAGGCACAGACCAACACACTCAGCTTTTTTCCATTGATGTGGTGTTTCATTTTGCCCAGACTAGCCTGGAAACTCAGTCCTCCTGATCACAGCCTCCCAAGTTCAGTGATTAGAGGCATGATCCCCTGACACATGGCTTGTTTCTGAAATTTTAAGATTTTTGGGCTGGGGTTGCATTTCTGTGGTGCAGCATTTGGCTCACATTTGTGAGATTCTGGGTTTTGATTCTCACCAAATTTACTCCACAAAGCAGAGGATTATTGATTAACTCATGTTTATTAATAATATGAAAATAGATTTCTCTGAAGAAAAGAATGCAAACAAAATTAAATGCTAAATTTTCTTACATATGGGACAAATATGACTTGTAATGTAATGTAGGTATCAGCATTTGAATTCTACTTCTCTGTATTCTACAGTTCACAAGTGACCCTGGAATCCAGTGTGTGGAAGTGCCACATCTGTTCTGGAAATACAGAAGGGCTGGACATTACACCACTCTCCCTCATACCGAGCTATCAATCACTATTCTTCCACAAGGTCCATTAATATTAATTCCACAATATAGTCTTTTTATGTTTTGTGAAAGGCTGAGTTATTCAGTTAAAATATGTAAACCTGCACTCAGGTAATGTTTCCTATTGACCTAATTTGGGGATTTTTTTCTTGTATCTGAAATTTCTATTGGATTTATAGGAAACATATTGTTTTTTGTCTTACATATGTACACCATCTTGTTTCAAAGGCATCTGAAGAAACCTATATGTGATTTTCACACACCTGTCACTGGTCAATGTTTTGACCATCATGTTCAGGTTGACACCAGACACAATGTCATCCTTTGGAGTTGGACATTTGTTCAGTGATGTGGGTTGTACACTTATCAAGTTACATGTGGTCTTTCCTTCTGCACCACCTCTCTCCTGAGTGTATTTCAAGTCATCACCATCAGCCCCAGTAATGCTAAGTGGGTGTGGCTTAAATCTAAACTCCCCTCCTGCATTTCTCCCTCTTTCTTTTCTTTCTTGATTATCACCATGCTGATCTGTATCCAAGTCATGGAAATTGTAGAAGAGAGCAGCAATTCCACTATGGTTGGTCTGGATATTCTGGAGGATACTGTAAAACTACTGGTTTTCATCAACTTTCACATGTATTTTTAAGTGTCATGATTATTCGTGATGTACTCTTCGTGGTTCTTATGATTGGACCAGCCTCTACATGGTGCATCTCCTCCACAGACACCACAGGAGAGTCCTGCATGTCCACAGTGTCAGCCTCTCTTCACAGCCATCTCCTGAAAGTAAAGCCACCCACATAGTCCTTTTGCTTGTGAGTTGGTTTGTGTTGTTTTTATGGCTCAAACAACCTCATTACGTTTTACATGTTGTCTACACCTGAAACTAAACCAAGATTTGATAGAATTACTGGAATTGTTGATTCATGTTACCCAACCTTTTGTTCTGATTATGAATGTGAAAATTAGAGATGCCAGCTTCTACTGGCTCAAGACAAGCAGGCCACTAGGTGAGCTAAGTGGCATGCATTACTCCTACAAACAACCATGGGCCAGATCAGCATAGCCCCCTGGACAGACTGACCCCCACCCAAGGAAAAAAGAGAAAAAACAAAACTGAATAAACAACAACAACAAAAAGACAAGAAGCAAAAACAGCTTTGGAGCCCTGAGCTCCAAAGGGGGGAGAGGGGCAATACCTCACGGAACTGTAAATAAACAAGGTGACTAGAGAAGGCGAGTATAGCGAACCTCCCCCAGTTTGCTTGGGAAGGGGAAACCTTGTAACAGTGGCGGTTGCACCCAGGAGAACTCTAAGTAAACAAAGCCTGAGGGGCGAGGTGAGTGTTAAGCTCATCTCTGAGATCTGCAATCAATAAAGCCTCCAGCAACAGCTGGCTGACAGCAGCAAGCTGGTGAGCCACAGCCTCAGAGAGATATTCACAGAACTGTCTCCAGACCCTTTTTTCCCCTGTTTTCTTTTGCTCTTCATTTGTTGAGACAACAACTGAACTACAACTGCATGCTGAAAGACTTACTGAAACTGTATTGCATTTGAACTTGGGATATTTTGTTGTGTTTTTTTTGTTTGTTTTGTATTTCTGTTTTTTTTTGCCCTTTGATGAGACAACAACAGAACTACTGCAGACACCATCTGCAGGATTGGAGGCTGAGGGACTAACACCAAAATTATTAAGACTGAAACTTTATTGCATTTGAATTTGGGGATTTTTTTTGTCTTCTCTCGGTCTCTCTAATGCCTTTTAGCTTACTGTTGATAAGTATACTATCTCTGCCCCATTTATTTCTTTGACACTGTTTTTTTGATTGTTTTATTTTTTACTTGTTTGATGTTTGTTTGTTTTCCCCTTTTTCTTTACCTTCTTTGTTTTCCCTCTCCTCTCACCCTTCCATTCTAGATATCACCATTGTTATTATTATAAGCTAGAAAAGACTTAATTGCACACAGTACAGGGAAAGTAACAATAGCAAGGGCAATGATGGGAAGACAGAAAAAAGAGGCAAACCAGTTTCCCCCAGTAATAAATTAGTACAGGAACCAAAGGGCAATGAAGAAAACAGATATTCAGATCCAGATTCCAGCAAAACGAAGATAAACTATGTCAAAGAACCCAGTGAAGTCCACAAGAACAATCTAAAATAAGAAATGCTGCAGGTAATCTATGAGAATTTTATAGAGATGATACTGCATATGGTCAACCAAAATGTACAGGAGACACTCAAGAAATTCGAAGACAACAAAAGTAGAGAATTTGAGAAGGCAAAAGAAGAAATAAAAGAAACCATGGAACACCAAAGTGAAACAAAGAACACAATTAATAAAGAGATAAATGAACTCAAGATGTAAATAGACAACATTAAAGAGGAAGCCAAGTCATGATATGGAAAAACTCAGGAAAAAGAAAGAAACAGAAATGCAAAACAAAATGGAAGGACAATCCAGCAGAATAGAACAGGCAAAAGACAGAATCTCAGAATTTGAAGATGAAATGGTAATTAAAGGAAAAACTGAAGACTTATTAGTTAATCAACTCAAGAACTGTGAAAAGAAAATGCAAGAACTCACTGACTCCATCAAAAGACCAAACCTGAGAATCATGGGCATTGAAGAAGGAGAAGAGTTGCAACAAAGGAATGTTTATATTCAACAAAATAATAACAGAAAATTTCCCAAATCTAGAAAAATCTATGCCCATACAGATGCAAGAGACCTCCAGAACATCAAACAAACCAGATCAAAATAGAACTACCCCATGGCATATTATCATTAAAACAACAAATACAGAGACTCAAGAAAGAATATTGAAGGCTGTAAGAGAGAAAAAAACAAATAACATACAAAGGTAAACCCATCAAAATCACAACAGCCTTCCCAACACAAATATTAAAAGCAAGAAGAGCTTGGGGTGAGATCTTCCGGGCACTGAGTAAAATAACTTCAACTCTAGAATACTCTACCCAGCAAAACTATCATTCAAAATAGATGGAGCAATAAAAGTCTTCCATAATGAGCAGAAACTAAAACAATATGTGACCACAAAGCCACCACTACAAAAGATTCTTCAAGGGATTCTAACCATGAAGGACAGGCAGCACCAAACTACAGGAAAAGAAAAAGCAAGAAGTAGAGAGACATCAATTTAGGTACACAAATCAAACCTCAAACAACTAAGACAACTAAATGACAGGAATCACCACATACCTATCAAGTACTAACACTTAATGTTAATGGACTTAATTCCCCATCAAAAGGCACTATTTGGACAAATGGATTAAAAAAAGGAAGATCCAACAATTTGTTGCTTACAGGAGACCCATCTCCAACAGAAATAAGCATAGGCTTAGGTGAAGGCTGGAAGAAGATTTACCAAGCCAATGGTCCCCGAAAACAGGCAGGAGTAGCAATACTTATCTCTGACAAGTAGACTTCAAACTACAGTTGATCAAAAGACAAGAAGAAAAAATTCCATACTAATAAAAGGGAAATAGACAAAAGAAATAACAATTATCAACCTATATGCACCAATGTCAATGCACCCAATTTCATCAAACATACCCTGAAAGACCTAAAAGCATATATTAACTCCAACACAGTGGATATGGGAGACTTTAACACCCCATTATCATCAATAGATAGGTCATCCAAAAAAAAATCAATAAAGAAATCCTAATCTAAAATATACCATAGATCAAATGGACCTAGTTAATGTCTACAGAACATTTCATCCAACTTCTATAATATACATTTTCTCAGCAGCCCATGAACCTTCTCCAAAATAGATCATATCCTAGGGCACAAAGCAAGCTCAGCAAATATAAGAAAATAGAAATTATACCATGCATTCTATCTGATCACAATGCATTAAACTAGAACTCAACAACAAAAGTAAAGACAAAAAACATGCAAACAGCTGGAAAACTGAACAACTCATTGCTTAATGAACATGGTCATTGATGAAATAAAAGAGAAATTAAAAATTCCTGGAAGTCAATGAAAATGAAAAACACAACCTAGAACCTATGGGACACAGCAAAGGCAGTCCTGAGAGGAAAGTTTATAGCCATGAGTGCATATATTAAAAAGACTGAAAGATCCAATCAATGACCTAATGATACATCTCAAACTCCTAGAAAAACAAAGAACAAGCAAATCCCAAACAAAATAGAAGGAGAAAAATAATAAAATAAGAGCTGAAATCAATGAAATAGAAAAAAAAAAATACAAAGAATTAATGAAACAAAAAGTTGGTTGCTTTGAAAAAATAAACAAGATCGACAGACCCCTGGCAAACCTGACTAAAATGAGAGAAAAAACCCAAATTAGTAGAATCAGGAATGCAAAAGGGGAGATAACAACAAACACCATGGAAGTTCCAGGAAATCATCAGAGACTACTTGAGAACTATATTCAAATAAATTTGAAAATCTTAAAAGAAATGGACAGATTTCTAGATACATATGATCATCCAAAACTGAACCAAGAGGAAATTAATCACCTGAATAGATCTATAACACAAAATGAAATTGAAGCAGCAATCAAGAGTCTCCCCAAAAAGAAAAGTCCAGGACCTGATGGATTCTCTGCTGAATTCTATCAGACTTTAAAGAAGAACTGATACCAACCCTCCTTAAAACTGTTCCGAAATAGAAAGGAAGGAAAACTGCCAAACACATTTTATGAAGCCAGTATTACACTTATCCAAAACCAGGCAAAGACACCTCCAAAAGGGAGAACTTAGGCAATCTCCTTAATGAACATTGATGCAAAAATCCTCAAAAAAATAATGGCAAACCGAATTCAACAACACATCAAAAAGATTCATTCACCACGACCAAGTAGGCTTCATCCCAGGATGCAGGTATGGTTCAACATACGAAATACAATAAACTATAAACCACATTAACAGAAGCAAAGAACAAACCACTTGATCATCTCAATAGATGCAGAAAAAGCCTTTGATAAGATCCAACACCATTTCATGATAAAAGCTCTAAGAAACTAGGAATAGAAGGAAAGTACCTCAACATTAAAAAGCTATATTGACAAACCTACAGCCAGCATTATACTTAACGGAGAAAAACTGAAACCATTCCCTCTAAAATCAGGAACCAGACAAGGATGCCCACTATCTCCACTCCTATTCAACATAGCATGGAATTCCTAGCCAGAGCAATTAGCAAGAGAAGGAAATAAAAGGAATACAAATAGGTAAAGAAACTGTCAAAATATCCCTATTTGCAGAGACATGATCCTTACCTTAAGACCCCAAAAAAACTCTACTCAGAAGCCTAGACACATCAATAGCTATAGCAAGGTAGCAGGTATAAAATCAACACAGAAATCATTAGCATTTCTATACACTATAAATGAACCAAAACTGAGAAAAGAATATATGAAAACAATTCCATTTACAATAGCCTCAAAAAATCAATATACCTAGGTAAAAGCCTAACCAAAAGATGGAAAGACTCTCTACAAGGAAAACCATCATTAAACTTTCTTGAAAGAAAGAGGAATGAGGAAAACTATTAGACAAATGAGAGAGAAATCTCATGCTCGAATGATTGGTAGATCATCATAGTTAAAAAATTCTATTTACGTCCCGAAAGCAATTACATGTTTCAATGCAATTCCATCAAATCCAATGACACATGGTACTGCACAAAACAGACATGAAGACAAGTGGAACAGAATAGAGGACTGGATATGAAGCCACACAACTATAACCAACTTATCTTTGACAAAGGCGCTAAAAATATACGATGGAGAAATAGCAGCCTCTTCAACAAAAACTTCTGGGAAAACTGGTTAGCAGTCTGCAAATAACTGAAACTAGATCCATGTTTATCACCCTATACCAAG